TTCCCACTTTCTCCTTCACTGTCAACAAAGAAATTTCATCACTGTGGGAATTTGACACAGTTTAGGTTTTTGTGTAACTGTTTTTTCTTTTTAATATTCACAGAGGTGCCTCAGCAGCGAACAAGCAGCTATGAGTTTATTCCCCCCAACAGTAAGTTAATCGTGACTCAAATATAAACTGTTTGGTCAAAAAAGTCACACTGTAATATATATGGTACATATTCATTGTGATATTATTTCTATTTCTATAACCTTATGCAGCATCACAGTATTATTTCCATCCACAGCTTTTCGTCCAGTTTAATAATAATGTATACTTTATTGATCCCCGTGGGAAAATTACTTTTTTTTCTCTGTATTTGATCCATTCACTCAGCAAAGCAGTGGGCAGCCACTAAGCAGGCACCCAGGGAGCTGTTTGTAGGGACAGTACCTTGCTCAAGGGTGCCTCAGTGGATTCAAACCCCAGCCTTCCGATCATGGGACGACCCCTCTACCTACTGAGCTGTCCCTGCCCCAGTTGTGCATCTCGCTGATGGGAAAGTCTAACAGCTATGTCAAATCTACTCCGACACCTCCCAAAGATTCTTAGTGGAGTTAATGTCTAGACCAGGGCTCAGCAACCTTTTACACCCAAAGAGCCATTTGGAGCCGGTTTCCATGCAAAAGAAAACACTGGGAGCCGCAAATACTTGTTGACATCTAAAATGAAGATAACACTGCATATATTGTTTTTACCTTTATGCTTTGTGTGAACAACTAAGGTGTGCTGCTTATGAAATCCAAGAAGTGCTACAGAGAAAATTACATTTTATTTATTTAATGAACACATTTTGAACTCTTAAAGAAATATAACAAAAGGAAAGCTGAACTAAAATGAAACAAAAACTGCTGTGAGCCGCCCTTATATCGCCTCTGGGCTTTTGGAGCCTTAACCTGACTTTTAAAAAATAATTGAAAAAAAAGCACTATGTTGCTAAAAAAATATTTGCAAATTTCTGCCTAAATATGTATTTTACCTGGTTAATGTGTGTGGCGGGGCGTGGTCTGCAGCACCGCTGCAGGGGAGGCGGACGCACCTGAGTGGCACCTGCAATCACGCCTCGCCGCCTTAACGTCTGTGCTATCTGTGCTGTTGTGTTGGTGTGTGTCGGGCCGTGAGCTGCAAAGCTACAGCCGGCTGTATGCGTCAGCAACCGTGTGTGAAAAGTGGTCAATATAGAGATGCTGAAAAGCGTGTTCATGCAAACATCGTCGGGTCTGCCGTGATATGTTTAAGACTTGTGGTCCTGAACCTCTGCGCACAGCGTCTGCAAATCGGGGCTTTCATCTTTACGCAGGACTGTAAGCTGTCGTCTGTGAGGCGTGAGCGGTGTTTGTTTTAACATAGTTCACAGTGGAGCTGCTAATGTGGATCCGAAGATCCAAAATTGGCCTATCTGGGGTTGAAAGTCTCGGTAAATGCACGGCGTTTCGGCGGCTACACCGGCTTCCGCGAGTGTGACGCTTATTTTGAGCAATGAAAAAAATAATAAAATATAATTTTATATTTCAATATCACAATAATCTTCCAATTTAGGACTACAAGTTAAAAAAAAGTAACATAAATAAAATGCACTTCAGCTAAATACTTAAACTCACTTATTTTCCCAAACCACACCGAGCCGCACTAAAAGGACCAAAGAGCCACATGCGGCTCTGGAGCCGCAGGTTGCCGACCCCTGGTCTAGACTCTGGGGCCAATCCATGTGTGAAAATAATGTTTCATGATCCCTGATTTCACAATCTGAGTCAGAAAATATCCACTGATGGAAAAAACTTGACAATCCAGTATATTCAGTCAGCTGTCATCTTTGTTTTGGATGACATAACACGACAGACTCTCAGGCACTGGTTTGGCTCAGTGCGTTGAGTGGGCGACCATGTACCAAACGGCTGAGAGCAGCCGGCCTGGGTTCCTCTCAGCCGTTTGGTACATGGGTTAACCCTAACCCATGTACCACGGGTTCTAGTCCAACCCGTGGCCCTTTGCCGCATGTCTGCCCCTCTGTCGCTGTCCCTGCTTTCCTGTCCTTCCTGTCCTTTCTTCATTGCGAAATAAAGCTGAAAAAGGCAAAAAAAAAAACAAAAAAAAATGAAACTATTATTAAAAAAACAACACTACAGAACCTGGACCTGACCAACTGGAGCAACTCCAGGTCACAACCTGATAACTAGACATGATGTATGCATCACTTTTCCAGTGTTTCTGCTCCCAATCAAACGGAAACATTTTCTGCAGATTAATTTCACTGATCAGTGTTTTTCTTAGTTACACAGATGTTTAGTGCCAATTCCACGAGTTTCTTTCTATTGTGTGTTTGAATGTTAACTTTAATTATACATTATTTTTAATTGCCTCAAAGCACTGTTGATTTGTATGGGTCTTTATGTTTCCATCTTTTATGTGAAGCACATGGAGTTTGCATGTAATGAATTATACTCTATACACATAGTTAGCATGACACTTTGCAGTGGAACCTGTTGGTTGAATCCAGGTGTGAGTTTGTTTTGGTCGGGCAGTGTGTTTCATTTGGAAATGACAAAACTGAAAAATGTTGTTGAACCTAAATTAAATCACATTTTTCATTCAAAACACAAATAATATTGCAGGGTTTCTTTCTCGAACTAGATCAAAACCATTTTTTGGAAATAGCACGATGTATTTGTTGATGAATAACTGTTTTTTAACATTTGCAATTTCCTGCATATTTTATGGGTATTAATGTTTTTCTGGAGAAGATTCCTCAAAATACTTATCATGTTTCCTCTCCGATGATCAGCAAACATGATTTTAAGACAATAAACATCTTAGAGTGACCCTGGCTGTTTTTGTTGACTCCCTGTTGTCGTTGTGTTTTGATGCCAGTGTCTGAGCTGAGGGTTGTCCTGCTGGGGAACAGCTGGTCTCAGAGGAGAGACGTGGGGAACTTCATACTGGGAGGGGCCGTGTTCAGCACTGAGGAACCAGACTGCTGTGTGAGGGTCAGCGGGCGGTGCAGGTGGAAAGAAGTCGTTCTGATCAACACTCCAGATGTGCTGCATCCAAACATCTCTGAGGACAAACTGACAGAGTTGATAGAAACCTGTGTGAGGCTCTCTGATCTTGGACCTCACGTGTTCCTGCTGGTTCTACAGCCTGAAGACTTCACTGAGGAGCAAAGACTGAGGCTGCAAACAGTCCTGGAAGACTTTGGTGATCAGTCATTTGAACATTCGTTGATATTGATATCAACACCCACAGAGGAACAATTAACTTACACAGAAAATTACAAGCAGCATCCAGCATTGAAGCACCTGGTCACCATGTGCAGATACAGATATTTAAAACAGAAAGATGTTGAACTTCAGGAACTGTTGACACGCTTCAGTCAGATTGTGAGAGAGAACAAGGAAAAGCATGTGAGCTGTGATTTATCTGAAACTGGAGCAGATGGTTCTCATCAAACCCTGAAACATCAGCTGTCAGTGCCTGCAAACATGGATCCTGCTCGAGCTGCTGGTGAGTTCAGGAAAACATTTTATTACTTTTAAATGTTTGTTGGGTCTCTCTGTACTCTGAGCTCTTCTGCTGGCAGGAGAAAAGGACAAAATATAAATAAGTTCAGTAAGTCCCATATTTAAAAACACTATAGAAATAAAAATTAATTAATTAATAACAACTAGGGACACAATACCATGAAATCAGTACTTTTTAACGTGAAACTTTTAGTCACAGAAATGAAGAAAATGCCTCAACGTTCATGGTGGATTGAGCAAATGTGAGAAATTGTACCACACAGACAAATATCAGTATATTTTCCCATCCAATAGGAACAAAATACTGGAGTTTCCAGATATTAGTCTAATAATTCAAACAGATTATGTTGTTTTTCTTGGGGAGGGGCGCTATGGTGGTGGACTGGTGGGCACAGCTGACTGGGTGAGGGACAAACTGAAAATGTCTGTAAACACCTCAGCAAGCTCTGAAGAGCAGACCCTAAAAGCACGGCCAGGGATGTTGTCAGGGCCAGCTGCTTCTCGGGGTTAGTCCTCCTCAGAACCTTCCACACCTCAGTTGAAGCCACAGTGAGTGAAGAGCTCCGTGCTGCCTCTGCTGGTAGAATCCCTCTGTGTTGGTTGGTGTTGAGGTGTAGAACTTATTCAGCTCATCTGATAGCGTGTTGGAGCTGACTGTGACCCTGCTGCTCCTCTGCTGGAAATCAGTAATTTGTTGAAGGCCCTGCCGCATGCGTCGGAAATCTGAGCTGTTGTAGTGTCCTTCCAGCTTCGGTCTGTATTGCCTCTTGGCTTCCCTGATGGATCTACGCAGGTCTTATTTGGTCTTTTTGTCCCCCACAGCGTCACCAGAGGCAAATGCAGTGGAGCGTGCATGTAGCATGGAAGGTACCTCAGAGTTCAACCATGGTTTCTGATTTGGATATGTTTGTAGTGCTCGGTGGGGACAATATTGTCAATGCATGTGCTGATGTAGCTGGTAACCACTGATGCATATTCCTCTAAATCCACAGAACTCTCCTGTCTTATGCCAGCAGTCTTAAACACACCCCAGTTTGTAACATCAACGCAGTCCTGAAGCACCAAATCAGATCTCTTTGCTCCAAACTTTAGTAATTTTAGCGTGTGAATGTGTGTGTGAATGTGTGTGTGAATGTGTGTGTGAATGTGGATGACTGAATGTAGTGACTAAGTAAAGCGCTATACAAATGCAGGCCATTTACCATATTTCACTGGGGGGGCTCGTTTGAGGAGCTGCCTGTGTGCTGGACAGAGGAACACAGAAATGTGGTCGGACTGTCCAGAGTGCGGGCGAGGCACTGCCTTGTTTGTGCCCCTTACATTGCTGTAGACGTGATGTTCCCACATATTGATGGAACCTCATGAGCACAGTCCTGAGGTTGCAGTGATTAAAATCCCCGGCAACAACAAACACGGCATCTGTGTGAGCGCTCTCGTGTTTGCTGATGTGTGTCTGTAACTGTATTGCCTAGTCTAGCGAGCTTCCCGTAGTCCAGGTTTCCGTAAAAATCAGAGCACAGCACTCTCTGATCTCATGTTGAGATGTTATCCTGGTTCTCAGCTCATCCATGTTGTTTTTGAGAGAGCAGACGTTGGCTAACAAAAGGCTAGAGGTGGTCGTGTGGCTCTAGCCTTTAGTCTAGCATGTAGCCCACCTCTCTTGCCACGCCTCCGTCTTGGATGCGCTGGTCGATGGCCACTCTGAGTAGTTGAGAATAATCTTTAAAAGTTGTTGAGATATTCATGTTCAAACATTGCCTCAGATTTCAATGTGCAGGACTAAATCAGACATGAAGGTCAGATTGATAGGCATCTGAAAACTATTTGATATATGAAGCTAAAATTACACATCAATCATTTTCTATCTCCAAACTTTGGATCATAAAGTTTAAAGCAAATTGGAGCTGGTCAAGCAGGATAAATGAAAATTTACTGATTTGAGGAGGAATGATCCTTAACTTCTCTTTGGACTTTGGAATTAACTCAAAAAGTAACACATAAGAATAAGGTTGGGTACGGCATGAAGTCCAGCTCAGCCATGATACCTTCAGATCAGCTCATTTCAATATCAGCCCACGTCATCTGATTTCTCAGCCAATATCTTCAAATATATACAAATAAAACCCTGATTCCAAAATAGTTGGAGCGCTGAGTGCAATGTAAATAAAAACTCAATACAGTGATTTACAGATTTCATAAACACATTTATTTTCCAATATAAGGCATATATATATATATATATATGCCTTATATTGGAAAATATAAGGCATACATACTTAAACTTATTATAAGAAGTCATCCCCTGTTTAATTTTTCAAAATATGTGTTTATGTGTATATATATATTTTCTTCAACCAGCAAGTTTTTTTGTTCTGTTTTTTTTTTTTTTTTGACAGGAAATGAAACAGGAGCCCAAAAGATAATATCACACAAACCACTTTGCAACCCACCTCCAGTAAAGTCACGTGTTGTTATTAATACATCGTCCTTCTGTGCTGGGCTCTTGCTTCTGTGTCCCCCGAGTGTGAAATGATGGGGAGATCTGCAAACAGAAACATACAGCGAAATTAAAATAAGTTCAGATGGAAAAATCAGTCTTGTTTTGACTGATGTATGAGTAATGTGGTTCAGTCCAACAGAAGTGCTCAGAAGCAGAAAAACTGAATCCTCTTTTATACACGTTACTTATATAATAATAATAATAAGCGTCACCTACAGTAAATGTTTTGCAGTTTGGACTTCAGTATCGATGCTCCGTGTTTGTCATATTTTCATCATACTGTGGGCAAAATTTCTCATTTATGCATTTAATAATCTGCCACTGCCACGTTTAAAGTTTCCAAGTGAAACTTATTATAAGAAGTCATCCCCAGTTTAGTTTTTCAAAAGTGTTTTAATTACTGATTATTTATTTGATTATTGATATATTGAGATGCATCATGTTAAGACGCTGATGAGCGCATCACTAAACTCTTCTTATTCCTTGTTGTTTGGCAGCTCGTGGACTCAGGATTGTGCTGTTTGGGAAAAACGAGGAAGAAAAGACGACACTTGGAAACTTCATCACAAAGAAAAATTCTTTTCAGTTCAGAAATATTTCTCCAGCTAAACACTGTGAAGATGCTCGTGGAGCGTGGAAAGAAAAACCAGTAACAGTGGTGAAAACTCCCGACATGTTCAGTCTGTCTGTGCAGGGAGTGAGAGAGGAGATGAAGAGCTGTGTGAGTCTCTGTCCTCCTGGACCAAACGTTCTGCTGCTGTTGGTCAAACCTTCTGATTTCACTGAGGAGAACAGACAGACTCTGAAGTTCATCCTGAGTTTGTTTGGAGAAGATTCCTTTAAACACTCGATGATCATCAGCACGTACAGACATCAGTGGAAAGAAACAAGCACCTCTGTGAACAAGCTCCTTCAGGACTGTGATGGAAGACACTACAACATGTTTACCAATGAGCACAAAGTGTTAATGGAGAAGATTGAAGACATGCTGCAAGAAAACAAAGAAAGCTTCCTCATCCTCACTGCAGAGAAGACAAAGCAAGAAAAACAAGAGGACTGGGAGAGAAAAGAAAAAGAGTGGCAGGAAAATCAGTCCAGGGAAACTGAAAGAATACGTCAGGAGGAGGAAGAAAAGCAGAAAAAGCTCCAAGAAGCGTTTAAGCAGGAAAGAGAGAAATATGAAATAACAAGAAAAGAAAATCAAATCAGACGGGAGCTGGAAGAAAAAGAATGGAATAAATTAGTGGAAAACTACAAGAAACAAATGGAGGACATGAGGAAGAAATATGAGGAGGAGGCCAGAAAACAAACAGAAGAATTTAATAATTTTACAATTAAATATACGACAGACCTTGAAGTTCTAAATTCAAAACTGGTGCAACAGCATGAAGAAGAAATGCAGCAGAAAGAGGAAGCACACAGAAAAGAGTTTAACCTGTTACAGAAAAGCTGGAACCAGAAAGAAAAGGAACTAAAAGAAGAACTGATGAGAACACAAACACAACTGCAACAAGGAATTAATGAAAATAAAAAACAGATAGCAGCTGTAGATACAGTGGTGAAGAAGAGCATGAGGGAGGAAGTTTCCAGTGAGGAAACATCGGTTTCACTGCCAGTTCCTCGTGTCAAACATTGTGGTAAGTACACAGCAAATCCAGCATGTCCAAATTAACACTGTCGGATTTGATTTCAACACTATTAAAGTGTCTATATGGGTCCACACCAGAGAGTGTTAATTT